GGTCTGGGCTAAGAGATAGAGAGATCTGGGGTCTGGGGCTAAGAGATAGAGAGGTCTGGGGTCTGGGGCTAAGAGATAGAGAGGGCTTGGGTTTGGGGCTAAGAGATAGAAAGGGCTGGAGTCTGAGGCTGAGAGATAGAGAGGGCTGGGATCTGGGGCTAAGATATATAGAGAGCTGGGATCTGGGGCTAAGAGATAGAGAGGGCAGGTATCTGGGGCTAAGAGATAGAGAGGGCTAGGGTCTGAGGCTAACAGATAGAGAGGGCTGGGGTCTGGGGCTAAGAGATAGAGAGGGCTGGGGTCTTGGGCTAAGAGATAGAGAGGGCTAGGGTCTGAGGCTAACAGATAGAGAGGGCTAGGGGGTGAGGCTTACAGATAGAGAGGGCTAGGGTCTCAGGCTAAGAGATAGAGAGGGCTGGGGTCTGGGGCTAAGAGATAGAAAGGGCTGGGGTCTGAGGCTAAGAGATAGAGAGGGCTGGGGTCTGAGGCTAAGAGATAGAGAGGGCTGGGGTCTGGGGCTAAAATATAGAGAGGGCTGGGGTCTGGGGCTAAGAGATAGAGTGGGCTGAGGGCTGAGGATGAAATATACTGCTAGAGTAGGACTAAGGTTTGGACACCTGACACACTGGAAGCAGTAGGCAAGGCCTGACACCAGGAGCTGAGAGAATATCAAACTGGGGGCTAAAACTGAGACACGTGTGGGGCTGGGAGTTGAAGTTGAGAGCTGGGACAAGCTGGGAATGGCAATAAGCCTGGGGGGCTAAGGCTGATAGACGTGGAAACATAAAAATGGTTGTTCCAAAGCTGGCTAAACTCTCCTCCTGAACTGCCTCTATTTCCAGTGCTGGTTGGCAGCGCTCGACATGCAAAAGTGAGTCACTGAGCAAACTGGTGTGTTTGTCCTGTATAACACGGACGGTGAGGCGGGGGGGGGGAGGAGGAAGAGTAGAGGAAGGAGGAAGAGTAGTGAGAGCAGTAAATATAACACAAACTTGGTCATCAGGTAAGAATTGAGAATAAATGTTAATCTGCGCTTCACTAAACTCTCTATGGAAAGGGAACACGATAGAAAAGTGGAAGGCTCTCTCCCACTGGCTGACCCTTCCAGCTACCACTATGGTCAGGAAAACATAATTAATTGGTATTAGCAACATGGCGCAGTGAAATATTGCACGATATTTTGACAAGTTATGAGAAATAATATTCCTTCTTGTCCAGGGGTGATATGATTACGTCATACGAGATACTGAGGGGAATGGACAAGGTGAACAAGGAAAGCTTCTTAAAGTGAGAGAAAATAGGACAAAACAGACTTAATGGAAATAGGAAAAGAAAAATAAGTTGAATAAATGTTAGGAAATATTAAGTCCCAGTACGGGACGCCAACAATATTGAAAGAAGAAGTTGTGTAAGCCACCTCCAGCCACAATTTTATAGTGAGACTTGACATGAACTTTGAAAATCAGACTAGTTAAAATATATCGCAACAGGAAGAGCAGTGCTAGTAAGCAGGGCAAAAAAGATCAAAACCTTAGTTCACTGTTGTCACTAAAATGTAAGCAGTAACTACCAAGAACTACAACAAAATAAAGCACCACCACTACAGTTGCTGCTGCTACTTCCAGCAAACACAATGCTACAAGGACACAACGACGACCATTACAACTAGGGCGTTGCGGGTGGTTTTTGGTGTGGCCATGTAGGCCGGTGTGATGGGGCTCCCATTACCCCCCCTGTCCTGCGGTAATCGACGATTGGCCTGGAATTCTCCGGTCAAGCGACTTACCATGCACTGGAGTTGGTGCTGTTTGACCTACTGCATGTGGATGTGGTTGGTGTGCAGATTCTCTCAGGTTACTGGGTGGTGGTGAAGTTCGGTTCCCAGGTTGTCTTCCAGGATTTCGTCCGGCGCCTGAATGGGTGCTCCTTCCAGCTGCCTGAGGATGGTGGTCCAGTGATTGCTTCGGCAGGAGCGGCACGACCACGTATGTCGTCATTAACAGGGCTCTGTTTGAGTTCCCTGAGGACCTCTTGCGGCATTACTTCGCCCAGCATGGGTGCGTGTTAAATGTCCGGATGAAAGTTGTCTCCTCAGGTAGGTGGAAGGGCGTCCTGAGTGGAACAGGAATGTTGGTCATACGCTTGAGGACTGCTATCTCCTCTTCAATCCAGCTCATGGGTTTATCCGTGAGGATTTTCTATGCTGGTCAGCCTCGTATGTGACTCTGGTGTGGCTTGTCGGTGCACCAGGCTGCGAGTTGTACTGCTGGCGGTGTGGGGCAAGTGAACCTCTTCCGGGAGGAGAACTTCCCGCCGTTGGAGAGCCTGAGAGACTCCGTTTGTAATGAGAGATGTTATGTCCTGTCCTGCGGATGGGCTGGAGGTATCCATGGTGTCTACGGACCATCCGGTTGACGATGTGGGTGACGCGGACTTCGTGGAAGTGGAGCGGGTCGTCCTGCTCCCGCCGAACCTTGCCGTGTCTCCCCCTCCTCCGACTGCTGGGGCAGTGTCCGTGGGAGCTGGTGTGGTGAATGATGCTGCCGGATTGGTTATGATGACGGTTCCTGTGGTTCCCACTGTGGCGCCTGTGGTAGTACATGGCCTTGTGCCTTCGAGGGCCGCCGCAGCTGAAGTGTTACGTGGCCGTGGTGTCCCCGTGGTGGAGGGGGTCAGTGGTGTGGAGGCTATGTTACCTGTTTCTGCTCCGGTGTCTACTGTATCCCTGGTTGCAGGTTCCCCACGATTGGGAGGTTGTCGCCACAGTTGCGGTGAGGGGTGCAGGGTGGGTGTTGGTTATGGTTTTGATGGCGGATTCTGGGCAGATGGCCATCTTTGCCTCGGCCCTTCGTGCTGCTGGCCCCGGTGCCTCCACCTATGCTTCGGCCGAGTGGGCTACAGCCCCTCGTGCTGCGGCCCCCTGTGCTCCCTTCTCCTGTGCTTCTGCCCTCCGTGCAACAGCCTCCTGTGTAGCAGTCTTCTGTGCTCCATCCTTCCGTGCAGCGGAGCTCTGCGCTGAAGTCTTCTGAAGTGCATCCTTCTGTACAGCAGCCCTCGGTGTTTGCGGATGTTCCGGTATTTATGCAACGACCCAATAGTCACTCGCTTGCTGGGGGCGCTTCCGATGTGGAGTGGGCGTTTTGGAGTACGTATTGTGACAAATATCCTTGGAGAAGTTTTCCTGAGAAATATGTGGATTAGGGGGGGGGGGGTTGCCGGTTGTGGTGCTTGTTGTCTGCTTTGCTGGGTGCTTTTGTCTGTTTTTTTGTATTTTGGTGCTTTGGCCCTCTTTCTTTATGAGTGTGTGTGTTTGTGTTTTTGCCTTGGTTTCTCACGATTCCGTTCTTCATTCTCCCAGTCTTGCCGTGTACTTGGGTTGTCTGTTGTGATGCTGTGTGTTGCCACTTTTCCTGCCTGAGTAGGGTTGGCGGCCCTGATGTATGTGCTTGTCATGTACCTTAGTTGGGGCGGGGAAGGTGCATATTGCTGCAGTTTGTAAATTACTATATTCCGCGGTGTGTAGTGTGTCCCGTGGTGCTTCGGGGCTTTCTGGTATGTAGCGCCGTTGTCGGCGGTTACCGTGTATAAGTTCATTATTTGTATTTAATATTTCTGTTTGAGGTGTTATTATGTACGTGTGGTTTTATATGTCTAGTTACGTCGCTCTGGTGTTTGGATTGTATGTTTTGGTTGTTCATGTTTTACTTGTTATGCTTATTGTTTTGTACAAATGTTTTATGTTTCGTGCGTGTTCCTATGTTCAATGATATCCCGCTTGTTTATGTACTTGCTCATGTGTTTTCCACTTTGTTTTCGTGTAACTTTCCCTGTTTTTTTCTTGATCTGTTCCGTTATGGTGCGTTGGCGCACATTTTGTATTGTATTTATTCAGTTTTATATATAAAAAAAAGAAAAAATATAAATCTCTCTACATGCTCTCGCTGTTCAATGTCAACTTTGTAAACGTTAACTACAAAATTAATCGCTTAATGCCTGTAAAAAATATATTTATATATTCGTGTTATTGAAGTCTATAATATTGATGTTTACAAAATAATAGGAAAATGTATTCCAATATTCTTTGACAATGTATAAGCATAACATTGGCATTGTCCTTCATCTATTTTATGAAGTTTCAACAAGAAACTTTCCCTAAGTTTCTTGTTGCTGATTCTACCTGAATCTGAAAAATTTCTGTCTATATCCCAATATATTTACTTATATAACAATAAATCTATTTGCATAATATATAAAGCAACCAACATATAAAATAAATCTCCCTGCACATAAGTAAATATATGTGCTTATTAAGTATATATACCTGTATGTCAAATAAATCTTCCTGAATTTCAAATAAATTTGCCTGCAACTCAAATAAAGCTACCTGGCTCTTGAGGGAGTCTCTCAAAGAGTCCCTCAAGGGAGAGTTGACCTGGGAGAGGATCTTCCCTCTGTTTGTTCCATCCCTCATTACCTCCTCATTATTTTGGGAACATCAATGTTACTCGGCCCGATACTGGGAAGTATACATTTGGTAACTCATTAAACTGTAAACTTGGAGTGCATGGTTCTTCCCACTAACAAGTTTGGAGAGTCAATGGGGAATGAGAACATGTGGGCAGATAATGGGTCCAACACCTCAACAAGGAACCGACAGGTGTTGACTGCCTTGTTTGCCTGTGACTGAATACCATTGGTTGGTTTGTGGAGACGTGTGATCGAGGTTTCGACCCTCATAAACGAGACGACTGGAGCCAACATTAGCCTGGCTTGTTCGGGGTCCCGCTTGTGTTGGCGGAGCATATATAACCGGGTCACTTGGCTGTGGAGCGTCAGTACAGCTTGGGAGACTCTCAGTGTTGTCTGTGTATCCATCATGTTTACTATGCGTTTTGTCGTAAGTGTATTATAACTTTAAATTATTCGTAACATTTAATGTGTATTAATAGTTTATTATGAAATTTTTTGGATTTGTAGTTTAACTAAAACGTTGCTTTCAGAGCCTGGTTCTCCTGCTGGTGCTCATGGCTCTACTGCACTTCTCGACGGCTCAATATTGGCACGATCGTCGGTACCAGCCAGTGTATGGCCAAGGTTACTACCAGGACAACTACGGGTATCGTCCCACGTACGGCCACGGTTATCAACAGTACTACGATGACGGGCTCTATGGTAGACACAGGTGTGTACATGGGAAGTTTAAGTAGATTTATGGATCATATTTGTAATGAATTAATTCTTTATGAAAATTAATAATTGGAAAACAAATGCCTCAAACTTTAAACGAACGTGATTAAGGTTCACTTTATGAAAGATTCGTATCTAAATACTGCCATACTAATTTTAGTATAAAACAAAACTTTTAAAATCTTCAGCCAGTTCACTCATTCGTATCTTGCATTGCCTCTTAATACAGTTGGATAACTGATAAATCAATATTACGGCAGATTGTCGTTTCACTTACTAGATGAGAATTCAAATTTGAATATGCCTCTATTCCCAGGGCTTTAGTTAAACCTAGTTAAGTTTGGTCTGTATCTTGGAAAAGATATCGACCACGTGTGACCCTTGTGTTGGGTTAAGTGTCTAAACTTAGTCTTGTGTTCAATGGAAGTATATTTAACCTGCTTCTCAATGGGATCTGTCTTAACCCTTGACACGCATTCTCGTATACTTTTAATTGTTTAAATTTAGAACTTTCCTTCACATTTTGGATACTGAATTTCCCGCCTGTACTGGAGATCCTTAAATACTCTCAATAGTTTAAACTTTACTAGTGGTTAAAGTAGACTAGTTTAATAGTAGCAAAATAACTTTGCACGGCCTCCTGGTTGGTACTTCCACCTGCAGTGACTACGGATGTGCAACATTACAATAAAGCGAGCAAGAAATGCCTAATAACCATTGGCTTGGCTTAACCTCTTTAGGTTAATATCGGTTGTGCCGGAAACTTTGCGCAGTTATCGGTAAATTACTTGCATTGCGATTTCTCTAGTGCTTAGACAAATTTGTTTGTAGTCTCTCATACTGCAGTAATTTTTCTATTAATATAAATGTGATTTTCTTAACTGCTAGTGTTCTGGGGTACATTTAGTGAAACATTTAATTCGAAATCATTCGAATAGTTGGTAACCCTTCCTACCAAGAATTTTTTTCCAAATGTAATATTATGGACAGGGTGATAGTCTTATTAAAAATTTATTCGTATGCACTGCTAAAAGCTGCGTGCTCGGTCATGAATTTTTACACTTGGACTAAATTTCTATTACTGCCTGGAAGACTGAAATTTTGACTTTTCCGTTTATACCACAATCTTAAATTATTTCTTAAATGCGGGTGTGGATCTGGTTAGAGATTACTAATGGGTGCCGAGTATTCTTCCCCATCTCTCATTTATCGCACATGGGATTAAGGTATTAGTTTATTTGAAAGTAAAAATAGTTCGCACAAATACAGAACTAAAAGACTTATTGTCCACCAGATATTTCTTGCATTACTTTGTAAAGGTCACGCTTTGGCAGCCTTAAGGACGTGGTCCCACATCCTTGAATACTTCCCTGGGGAAAATTCTATGTTCACACTTGTGATAAATATTAGCCTTGATAGCCTTACTTTCACTAAAAGAGCTGTTGTGTTCTCGGTCTTAATCTGAATCTTTCTAAAAGCGTGGTTTACTGTTCTTACTGTCATTCTAAAACGATAAAATACCTTGACGCTAAATGGCTTCCACCACGAAACTGACGGTAAATTGTATGCAGAATTGGGTATAATTTCTAGACTTCGTACGCTTATTTTGTAAAGTTTAGTGTGTTTAGGTTTTTTTTCTTTGCACGCACGCGCACACAGTCCATGGTATCTAGTTACTTGGAATGTGAAGAAAATTGGGTGACACTGGGACTTGCCAGAAGGAAGGTGCGAAGCTATTGTAGACTACCAATGTTGCAGCTTAAAATGATTAAAAAAAAATCTTATTCTTTTTCAGGTATAGGTACTGAAGACCAAGCAAGAACTGATGGCTGGGAGAATAAATTTAAAAGATTACCGTTTTGTAACTTGGACTGAATAAACTGCATCCAATGAATTATTTTTACCATCCAATAATAAAATTCTAGGTTCATGTAATGTTACCCGTTAACAAAGTTAATATTAAATCCAACGGTAGTAAAACTGAACTTGAAAGTCCCAAATGTCTAAGTTTTATTTAATCTCTGACCAGTAATAAACTTCAGCTTGAAATGCTGAATCTACCAGACACTGAACCTCACGAACTTTAAAAAGTTTACCCGAGCTACATCAGACTAATGGCTATTGACAGCCTTCCTAGTACTTGGGGTACTGCTTCGTATAAACTAGAAAGCTTCTTTTCTAGACTACCTTCTGCATAAATATAATGTCAACGTTGAACTTCGCTCTGGGCGACTGGGGCCCCCCTCCTCCCATCACTACCGTGCGCGCGGTCCTTGCAACATCTTTCCTCTCGCCTCTGTCCTGCTTTAACTTTTGCCCCTCCTGCGGTTCCTGTTTCCCTTCATCACCACCTTTGTCAGATTATCTCTTGCAGGATTCTCCTTTCGTTCGTTTTTCTAATGTTTCTCCTAGTGTTCCGTCTTTGCCCCCCTAGTGAATCCCCCTTCCACAGTCTTGTACATCCTTGACCCGCATCACTAAGCTTTTACCCCTCCTACAGTACTAAAACACCTTTTCCTCGAGCACTTCTCACTCCCGCTCAGTTTGTCTTCACCGATGGGTCTAAGTCTGCGGATGGTGTTGGCTACTGTTCTTCATGATCGCACTTATATGTATTGCTTACCTCCGGAGACTAGCATATTCACAGCGGAGCTTTATGCTATTCTCCATGCTCTTCGTCTCCTGCTCTCTCGTTGTCAGTCTTCCTTTGTTGTAGACTCGTAGTGCCCTCATGGCTCTCGGGTCCTTTAATCCGGTTCATCCAGTAGTTGTAGAGATCCAGCATTGGCCGTTTATGTTCGCAGTAAATTAAAGTCGGTTGAGTTTTGTTGGGTTCCCAGCTATATTGGCCTCTTTAAATGAGAGTGCGGATGCTGCCGCCAAGGAAGCTGTCTGCTCTTGTCCTATCTCGTAAAGGTATTCCATATTCAGACTTTTACCTGGTTATCCATTCCTCCGTCCTTGCCCGTTGGCAGGCTTCTTGGTCGTCTGTTACTGCTAACAAACTATGTACTCTGAAGTGTTGCCTCGTGGCCGTCCTCCTACCACTGTAACCGGCGATGGGAAACGGCTCTGGCGAGGATGCGTATTGGCCATACTCGCTTAACCCATGGTCACTTGATGGAGCGCTACCCTGCTCCTTATTGTCCTAATTGCATTATCCCTCCTAGTCTTGCATTGTCCTTCTTGAATGTCTCGACTTCCAGGACGAGTGTCTTGCTTTCCAACCGCCTCTCGTGGTCACCTGTCAGTCGGTAGAATTCTTGGTGACTCCGATACTTTTGACAACGTTCGCCTAGTGCGATTTTGTTCTCGTATTGGCATCCTTGGCGATATTTAGCGCCCTCTGATTATTCCGCACATTTGACGGTGCTACATAGCCTTCTCAGTTTGGTGCCTTTTGATAATTGCTTACTTCCAATAGAGCATGTGCAAATGGTTATCGAATGCCAGCTGTTCGTAGCAGATTTTTTGTGCCAAAGTAAATTTGTAGGCTAAAACATACAACCTTAGTGGGTTCAACCTTGACGCTTCGGCAGTGCTGAATAAACTGGCTTGACCAGATTTAAGGACCAGAGCCATGAGGGCACAGTCAAAAACTACAAAGACCCCCCTCCCTGTCCAGCTCGTTGTCGCCGTGAGGGGGCTTGGTGGGTGGCTGCCAGTGTGATGCTCCTTGGGGCGGTCCCCCTGTCCTTTTGTAGCCTTGTGCTCCTGCTGGTGTCTTCACAAATTTTGCTGGACACCTTTTCATTTTTCTTTTTAGGTTTTTTCTCTCGCTCTTTCTCGTTGTCCTTTCCTGCTGACCTTGTGCCTGTTTTGATCATTCTTTTGGCCTTTTTGTTTTGACGCCCGGGTGTCTGAGGAAGCATACTCTTGCACCCATATAATTGTAGTACCCAATGTCTTGAGCAAAGGGAACCTTTTGTCAATACCCCTTTAGTCACTGAACCCGATCTCGATGATCGCTTGATCGGCAATAGCTTCTTGTTGGGTGTCCTGCTTCTAATTGTGGCTCCATGGTGGGTGTGGGCGCACATTAGTAAGTTTCTTTTCGTGTCTTGATGAATGTTCCTCTTGTACCCTCTCAGGCTCGTGGGGTGGGGGACCAAGCCCCTGAGTCGGACCATTGGAAGACCGGGCTCTGTAGCCCCACTACACTGGGCCCCGACCTTGCTCTTCCTTTGATTCTCTTGACTACGCCCCTCGGCTCCCCTCCCTCTGGTTGGGTCGAGCCCCAAGCCCCCAGTGGTGACCGCCTCGTCCCCTGGCACGGCTCAGTCTCTCGTTGTGACTACTGTGCCTTTTAACCCCTTAATCTGAGGGGTTCTCAACGCCGTCTGTTACGTACCCCTATTGGATACGTATATAAATATTAAATAATTACTATGTTCCATGCATCATTACTTGTATGTGCTTATATATTATATCATTAATTGTATGTGTATTATATCATTACTTGTATGCTTATATCAGTACTTGTATGTTCTTGTATGCTTATATCATTACTTGTATGTGCTGATATGTTATATTGTGGTAATGATCATCTGGTGGACCATACCGTGGGAAACCGTTATTATTTTTTTGTGGTGGTCAGCTAGTCAGCTTACCGTGAGAAAGTTATATTTTGTACTGATCATCTTATTGGCAAGACCGTGAGAAACCGTTTTAGTTGTTCATCTAGTCGGCAATACCGTGGGACATTACCTTCCTGCTATGTTGGGCAGTTGCCAGCAATTTCTTTTATTTTATAAATATATAACTATTATATTAATAACTACATTACTTCTGTTTATGCATGTAAATCTGATCATTCTTTAATTTAGTTAATTAATGATTACCTTATTCCCATTATATGGCTCCATTTAAGTAAAATTTATATTAATTAAAAACTGTCACTCAAAATGTTGTGCAGAAGCGAGATCGGCTCCCGCCGTGAGAAAATTATTCAGTAACTGTTTAGACTCAGGAAGGATCACATCTAGGAGTTAAGTCTGCTGTTATATCTATTTTGTTCTGTTGTAGTATGTTAGTCTGTGGAGACATAATTTTATTTTGATTTACCTGTGATTGCCCATCTGTTGATATATAAAATACTGATAATTAACTGAAATATGTCTAATACACATTTATTTTTGTGATATTACTTAGTCCTAAGGGGGTGATTAATTTTAAATCTTGCCTGTACAAACCATGGGATTATACTGGTGACACACCTTGAGATTACAGCATTGGTAAATGTCCCTAGACTACAAGATTTTGTTGCTGTACGGGTCACGAGCATTAATGTACGGTTTGTAACAGTGATTTTGGGAGTCTGGCCGGGATATATTGTTCCCACATATATTTAACTTTTGCTAATCTAACCTTGCCTTCCTAGGTACAAGTGTGCTTAGAAATCTGTGTGTTTAAGAAACTTGCAATATGCCATGCCAGAGTCATCCTGTGTAACAAGTAACCTACGTTTCACGATTTTGGAGGTAAGTCATCCTATATTTTGTTTGTGCAGTGAGGCCATGCAAATTTTCAGTGTCGTGACAATTTAAAGTGAAGTGTAGTGCCGTGCCATTCTGTTAATTATTTTAGTCAGTCAAGTGCCAAGTGTTAATTAACCATGGAGGATCAAGTGGTGTCGCTGTTGGCTAATCCAGACTTTGAGGGAATTAAAAACCTAAAAAAGTCTGCCTTAATAAATATGGCAACTAAGTTAGAATTAACAGCCAGAAATAACATGACTAAAGCACAAATTCTGAGAGTCATAGTGACACATTTAGTAGAAAATGGTGAGTTAGGAGAAGAATTTCTGGAGAAAGTAAAGGAGGAGACTAGTGAGCAAATTGCTTTAAGGCGTCTTGAGTTAGATGCACAAGTAACGTATGCTAAACTTGAGGCTCAAGAAAAAGAAAATGAATTTGCAAGGCAACAGAAAATATTAGAACTTGAAGCTCAACAAAGAGAAATTGATGCTCGAAGCCAACAAAAAATATTAGAGGCTGAAGCTCAACAGAGGGAGCTTGAAACTCGACGTTTAGAGATTGAGGCACAAAATAGTAGGATAGTCGTCCAGTTGCAGCTGGAAGCAACAAAGAAACAGCAGTTAGAAATTCAACAACAAATGGCTGAAGCTAACCTCAGACTTGAAACACAGCGTTTGGCAGCTGAGCATGGTAATACTAGCAATGTTTCTAATAGTAGTGATAATAATCCCATAAGGATAAATAAGTACATAGAGTTACCCAAGTTCAATGAGGAGGATCCCGAGGTTTTTTTCTCACATTTTTCTAAGATTGCAGTCAGTATGAACTGGCCAAGGGATCAATGGGTTGCAATCATGCAAAGTCAATTGAAAGGGAGAAGTCAGGAGGTTTTTGCATCCTTGCCTGATGAGAATAGTTTTGACTATGAGTTTGTTAAGAAAAGCATCTTAAATGCTTACCAATTAAATCCGGAAGCACACAGACAAAAGTTTAGGAACCTAAAGAGGGTAAGTGATCAGACAATAGCAGATTTCACCCGTCTAAAAGTTAATTACTGCAACAGATGGCTAAAATCACTTTCAATAACCGAGTATGATGCTCTTAAGAATCTTCTTATAACAGAAGAAGTGATGTCATGTCTCCCAGACAAATTGTCTACTTTTATGGCAGAACAGAAAAATATAACAGACATTTATGAGCTGTCTAAGCTCGCGGATGAGCATGAGTTGTTGACTAAGGCCCAGTTTAAGGCCCAATCACCTAAGTTTAACCGTAGAGTAAATTATAATGCTCACCGAACTCCTTATCAGTATAAATCCAATCCTAGTGCTCCAGTTACTCCCATGAACTCTTCTCTTATAAAACCTAAAATTGTTACTCCATTGCCAGGACCATCTAATCCTAGTAATGTTAATTC